CATCACATCATTTCAAAAAAATATATTCTCTCATTTTAATGTACAGCAAACAAGCTGATATGATGTCTCGCTATTGCTAACATGAGCTCAAGTATTGAGGTTTCAAAATTAGTAAAGGGACATCACTCTCAACTCCAAAACCTAAGGACTTCGATACAAGAAAATGACAGAAGAAGTGCTATATTTTTTTTTTTCTAAAAGAGGTGCTATGATTGTTGAAAAAAAAATGTTAGAACTAATTGGTGCTAGTGTCCTAGAAGACGCGATTATGCTCAAGGAAAACACTCTGCATGGTGCAGCAAGAGAAAAAAGTGGTCAATTCTACGTTGATAGCCTAAAGCGCACCTAAGTAGAAAAGGGGGTACAATTTTTTATTTGGTTAGTGTATTCTTATTCTTAAATTCAGCTCTACAAAAAGTCTTGACTTAAAATTAAAAAAAATCCGGCCTAGTCCAAACCCATCATGCGAACAATCCTCGACTGCATCTTGTTTACGTCCCAAACATGAGGTATGTTATATTTAGGGAAATTTGCAGTCACAGTATCAAACTTTTCAATTTTTTCCAGATTTTGCCTAAACCTTTGTTTTGTACTACCCACGGTACCAAAACTTTAAACAATGCGCACTGGAGGTCTGCATGGACGGTTTTCGTCCAATGGACCGTTAGTTGACCAAAAAGTCAAAATTGACTAATTGTTGACTAATTTTTTAAGGGCAAAATGGTAACTTTCCCTTTTTCATATATAAAAAAAACAAAAATCAAATAATTAAATCAAAAACCAAAAATTAAAATAAAAGAATAATAAAAAAAAAACTATTGTTCATCTTCTTCTCCACCTCCACCCCAATCATCATCATCCTCCTCTCCGCTGCTATCAGCTCCTCCCTTTCTCATCTTCCCACCACAAATCCCATGCCATCTCCCCCACCCATTCCCCCTCTAGCCAGTCACTCCCAGAGGGTATTGTTCATCTGAGGCTAAGAGATATTTTCCATAACGACTTTTCAATCGTAAGACACTTTCGATTCCTTCCACGAATTCGACTATCCACTTCACGGATTTTGATGAACCGTGACGATCTTGGACGACGGTTTCTTCGTCAGAATCTACTGTTAAACATTTGTCATGATGGCTCTTCAGCTGAACGAATTTTGCTCTTTGGAAGAATTCCATTCCAGAAACCTATAATCAATGGAAAAATTCATTGAATCAAATATGAAATTAATGGAAAGACTTGGTTCTTGATCTGGGTTTGTACGTGCATTTTGGGATTTGATAAGGGAATTTGCATAAAGAGTTGGGTTTGATCAAACTTCAAATGTGAAGTTATGGGAGAGCGAAGACGCGGATAAACGTGTTTGATTTCTTGTGATAATTATTTTAGTTGAAAAAAGAACTTTGTTTTAGGTGGAGAGGCGGAGGATGATTGGGGTGGGTGTGGGGGGAAGGGGGTGGGGAAGAAGATGAACAGCAGTTTGGTTTTTATTTTTTTATTTTAATTTTTGGTTTTTGATTTGATTATATTTGATTTTAGTTTTTTTTTTATATATGAAAAAGGGAAAGTTACCATTTTGCTATTTAAAAATTAGTCAACAATTGGTCAATTTTGACTTTTTTGGTCAATCAACGGTCAATTGGACAGAAACCGTCCATGCGGACCTCCGGTGCGAATTGTTTAAAGGTTTGGTACCGTGGATGTTACAAAACAAAGATTTGGGCAAAGTTTGCAAAAAAGTGAAAGATTTGGTATCGTGTCTGCAATTTTCCCTAGATAAAATGTAAATGTAAATGAAAATAACGTTGAAATTTACGTGAAATGAAGCA